TATATATATATAATATTCTCTGTCACAGTACCTTACAGCCAGACAGTCACCCATTTATCACATCCATTAAAGAGGAAAACTTCTATTGCATTTAAATCTTCCACTCACCACGAAGCCTTCAAACATACAGTTTCGTGCCATGTCACAGCTTGTTAGTATGAAACCTACAGGGGAAAGATTAGAAAGCATGCAGAATTAGTCGGAAGACCTAAAGGAAAGAGACCACTTGAAGAACCCAGGCATAGACAGTAAGACAATATTAAAATGTGAGGGTGTGGACTGCATTCATGTCACTTTGGGATAGGAACAAATTGTGATTTCTTTTGAACACTGTAATAAATCCTAGGGTTATATAAAAGGAATGAAATTTATTGAGTAGATGAGCAACTGTTAGCGTATCAAGAAACATTTACTCCGTGGAGCTTGTTTAGTTAGTGGCAATTAAATTTAAATGCAATCAATTTCTTTATTTTGACTTGCTGACGTTATGTAATTTTAACAGAGTAAGATTTTGTGGACAAACCTAATTAGGAATTTAATTTAACATATAGAATCTCCTCAGTTTAAGAAGCTTGATGAAGCTTTTTATGACAATGTTTCTTATGCCTTCACGTTTATTTATTTGTGGTAACGACGCTGTCAGTAGCTGCCACTATACAATAATATTATAAATAATGAGTAACGAAGGAAGCGGCCGTGAATTATTTCAGGGCCCTATCCCGGAATTTTCTGAAGGGACTAAGTAAAGACACGAAAAACCTTTGCCAGGATGGCCGATTTCAAGGCCGAGATAGGAAGACTCCATCTTGGACGCCAATAATATGACGGCCAGAGTAGTCCTCTTGTGAGGTCGAATTAGACAGACGCATCTAACCGGAAATGAAAGTGTGCGTATCGATTTATCGGCCATTAGTCCACAGAGGAAGAAAATAATTTTGCGGCAATGGGTACAGTGACATCCAGTGCCACGGAGTTGTGACGAACGCCGTTGCTGCAGTCACGTCAACTTCTAGACGTACTGGTATAAAACGACTTTTAATAGCGGTGTCACCCATGGTACCATAGTTACAAGCGGAACCATTACACAAATAGGCTGATTCTATGCTGAGCGAAATGTCTAAAAGTATTATATTTAAACGGATGGATAAATCCTTTTCTTCTTTACAGAAAGATCGAGAAATGATCAGAAGGAGACAGGAAGGAATAAAATAAGGCAAACAAACACCGGTGGAAGGTGTCCTCAGCTTCACGGCCACAAATCTTATCATCCATCATCAAACACGTTCAATTACCTCTGTGGTTGGAGGGGCTGACCATTCCTTACAGTGACTGACAAAACTAGCTTCTAATATATGATTAAATATAGGTCTATAAAGTAAAAAACTAGGCCGTTAGTTATAAGCAGGGATGCCATTTTTTAATATCTGTCAATGAAAGCAAAGTATTTCGTTTAGATATATTTACATGTCAGTCCTTGTGAATTGGCCTGCTGTCTTCATGTTTGATTAAATTTAATCACATTTCTTAATAAATGTTGTATTATAGACTGCTGTCCATAAATATTAAACAATCTGAGTTTTAATTTTAATTGAGGTTCTCACAACAGTGAACATGTCGATTGTGGTATTCTGGATGTAATCTTGGTTACTGCCGTTCCAGAGGAACGTATTGCATACATTTTCGGGGTCGAAGATGGAACGGTAACGTTCAAATTAAGGGCGTACTTTCCTCCTAAACGCTGGCAACCATCTACAAAACTACACAGTGTCACAAGGCAGAAGACCATAACAGACAAATCAAAATGTCCTGTAGGAGGCTTAGCGTCTATAACTTACTGCAGCTAGTGTTATATCTATCTAATATTTTTTTCTAGTATATTTTCTATTTATAATCCCAAGACCACGCACAGCACGCACATGGAAATAAGATGTCACGCAGTGTATTAGCGGTTTTGTAATTTACAGCTATCGTCACCTTGAGCATGTGACTGAGCCTTCGATTCACCTATTTAATTCTCTAGCTGGTAATTGTCTCACTAACCAATGACACCCCTGATAACTCTGCAACCTGCATGGCTCATCCTAGGATACTGATAGTGGACGGACTTGTCAGCGCCTCATCTCAGTAGCTCGACCAAGAGCGATACGGAACCATGTGTGACAACCAGCAGGAGTACAGGTGACAAGTGCAGAATGTTAGAGCAACGTAACCAGACATCCTTGAGGACTTGCGAAATAGCCAATTGGGATATTGTGACAAAAACCGAAACTGCGAAACTGTCAAGAAACTGGCGTAATTTAAATATAGTGTACAAATTGTGTGTGTGGGTTTCTTTTGCAAAGAAACCGCGAATTTGATGTGCAAATTTAAACAGAATAATATTACCAGCCCTGCAGAATATTCTATGCGTTTAAAAAGACAGTTTGAATAGTGGACTCCGAATATTTATGAAGAATTCATACGGAGAAACAGAAACGATGGTACTTTGTCATTATTTAAATGTGTTTGCAGCATTCAAAGTGGAGATCTGTATGAAGTTACACTATTGAAAGTTCTAGAAAAATACCGCAGCTTTGAATGTGATTTTATACTCAGAAATTGCATAATTCCGCAACAGTCATACAAAAATCGCATTGTTGTGCAGAATTCTGAACTGTGATGTGAGTTTGTAACCAAGAATCTGCATCTGACGTGTGGAGTGTTTTGTCAGAACTCTGACTTCAGTAAAATTGAAATTTCAGTTTCTACTAGTGTAGAACGAAGATTTTTGTGAAGGATGCAAGGTAAATGTTATCGTAGGCAGTACAAATACTGACCTAAATGTTATATTTCATTATGAAACACACAACGCAAAGGCACTTTCACGTTTTGTAAACAAAGGTAAGCGTTTCTGTCTTTGAAGCTCCTTAAACCTTGAATCGATCTTCATAAGATAACTAACGCTTCCTTGCAATCAACGATCGAAATTGTTATGTGTCTATGACAGTCCCAATTTGTTTCAATTGACTTCTGTCGTGCATTATCACTTGACGTTACTGTCCTCCTAATCCATTTCATCTATTTATGCCGGAATCTAAATGAAACGTGTGTTTAGGGATTAGTTTTAAATCAAGATCGAAATGTTATGCATGGCAATGGAAGCATCCACACAATTTGTAAGATTTGAGGTTTTCACAGCGGTGAGTATGAAGATATCTGTCTTGTGGGTTGTTGCGGCGTGTAGTCTGGTCGATGCTTACCAACGTTTCAGAGGTCATACTGCCTCCGTCATCAGGGCGATCGCACACAATTTGTAGGTTCGAGTGAAAATGCATTAACAGAAGCTTTGTTTCGCATAGCTGTCGGTCAGACAGGGTCGAACCACGTGATGTTACCACTACCTCCCCTCGTGATTGACCATTTAAGACCAAAGCTCATATAATAATATTGAAGAATTCAATTCAAACCTCAAGTTAAAATGCTTCCCGTTACAGAGCTCAACCGGTTAGCGCTGTTTAGAGAAATAGTCGCTTTTCATTATGGGAATTTATACCAAACCCGTAAATACACTCTTGGCCAAAATACAGAGTTACTGAAAGTTCAAGCAGGTGGTTATTTCATTACCACTGGGCTTGAAATGGCTAGCATCTTTTGTGTCTTTCAGATAGTTCTGATACGTCTACATGTCTCTGTTACTGTCTGCTAGTGTTGTTATGCTACACATCATTATAAATTTCTTTTATTAAGTTTAACTCACCACGCAAATTTCTTCTCTTTCCTGTCTCTTTGCCCAAAATAATGGTTTCTAACACGTAAAAATTATATTTTCCTTCAGGTTGAGACCAAGTTTCGCACTTGTACAAATGGAATAGGCCTATTAATATTAGACGAGAAAAGAGAAATGCTGACTGTTCAACCCTTTTGATTTCCTAAAGTGCCAATGAAACTCCGGACCATTTCTAGTCTTATGCCCCACCTGATGGGACGTTAGCTATGAAAAAATACCCACAAAAACAGAGGCCTGAAAAGATTAAAAAATATTCTTATAATGTTGACAACAAGAAACAGAATATATTTATTTTGTACAGTCTATACACAAACGTTTGAAGTTTATTGGTGTTGTAAAAATTATATAATATTAAAACTTTTGTTGTGTAAAATATTATATTAGCGCTCTTAATCGTAAATACGATTTTACATTATATTTTTTAGCGCTTTTATTAAAACGACATGTTTCGACGGGTAATACCGTCGTCTTCAGGTTTTTATCAATTTAAAATATTTTAAAAACTATTAGATATTTGATGCAATATATTATAATAAAATTGTATTCCCAAAACCTGAAGATCACTTCTGAAATGCAGGGAGATGTTAAAATGTATCATACATAAATGGGATACGTGGGAATGGGATGGATCTTCGGGCTCGATTAAAGATGGAGAATTTATTTACCAGCTTCTCAAGAAGGACTGGGCTCTATGTGTTTAGTTATGGATATGTAAAATAGCAAAGTGCTTTGAAATGAATGACGTTAAGGAATGTGGCCACAAAGCTGACTGAGTTTCCCGTGGTTTCCGTTTTCAAGCGCTAAACAGTTTAAAGAATCACAACAAAGTGGATTCCAACATATGTAGAGTAGTTCCTACTAGTTTATTTTAGTGGTTTGTGCTTACAGTAGTAAACATTTTGTTTCAACAACTCGAAGTGACGAGACGGACTGTAAATATACGTACAGGGTAAAGTGCGAATTACGGAGTACGTCGTTGTGGCTTCGCTGAGCCACTGCGTCGTTTCGACGTTCTCAGTCATTCTGCACTCACTGTGACCTATGAAATATACCGCATTCATTAAACAGCGAAGCCAAACATTTGACTCGTCTCACAAGATCTTTTTTGGTCCATCTGGTAGAAAGGACTGAACTTTGTAATGGAGATGCGTTGTATTTTCTTAGATGTAGGAAGTGAACTACTAAATATTATTTAAGACTTCATATTTCAACCACATCGATATTATTTCAGTTCTAGAACTAACACTGTACGTAAACTCAGCTTTGTGAATTCACTTCGATTTTGGGAACAAGACTGCACTAGTTAGGGGGGGGAGGGGTTCCTTGGGAACAAGACTGCACTAGTTAGGGGAGGGGGTTTCTCTCTGAATAGAAGTCTACACACCATGAAAGTCTTTTTGTTGAAGCTAAAGTCTGCACAAGTGTTCCATCCGGCAGAATACACGCTACTTGGGCACAATAGCTGCTGAAGTATGCGAGGTCTGGCACTACGTAGAACAGGGTGATTCGAAATTCCTTATGCACCTGTAAGAAGACATGATGGAAATGAGAACTGATTCAGAAGTGTTTGTGCTCACACAAGCCGAGGGGATCTTCGTAATATAGATCAAAATAAAACATATCAAGGAATGTGGGTGTAGTATGTTCCTTCTAGAACACATTGTTTTAATTATATTTCAAATTATTAAATTGTTAAAGTAGATATGCAGTTCAAATTTAAAAGAGAATCTGATTATAGCGTGCCAATGCAACAACTAAGACTATAATGAATACAAATAGAAAACATTAGCAGTTGTTGAATTGATCGTGGATGTCTGAAGTATAAAATGGAGAGGCCAATTTTAATCTTGTAGAGAGCCAAGAACCTTTTGCTGTGTTAAGGGCCGAACTGTAAGGACCACCGCCCAGTCGCTGGTGAGACTGAAAATGGCTGTCTTTGGGTTGTTGCACCGTATCGTCTGGTAGAAGTTTAGCGGCGTTTCAGAGGTTCATCATCAGGGCGATGACTCATCGCCCTGATGATCGAGGCAGCAAGGACTTTTGAAGGGTCGGTAAACTTCTACCAGACTACACGGCGCAGCAACCTAGAAGACAGCCACATTCAATACAGAAAATACAGTTATTTAAAATTTATAGACCTCTTCATGCTGATAGCCTTCCAACTTGTAATGACTCTTTTTGCAGTTTCCTGACTTGTACTAAGTGACCCCTACTTTAGAACTGACTACTTAAGGTGAACTATATATTGTTAGCGAATTTGGGAACTTCGGGGTAAAAACGTATGAACATAGGGTATCAGTCGGTCCTATGGCTTTCGTACTTTGTACAACTCAAAGTATTCGTTGGCCGACTTCAGGAAGCTGTGAGATCGATCGCTTGTGTGAACTGCATCTGATTGTGTTCAGTATCCTTAATAGTGCCATCAATGGTGTGTATGTTAACAAAAACATATCACCATCTCATTAATTAATTCATGAGCCAACTTTATTGTTTCGTCTCTAACTTCATTTATTGAAGACCGAACTAAATATGTAAGTATCGAATCAAATCAAAACTGTAGGCAACTCTCTCATCAATCTGTTTCATTTACGTTATCTGAGATTCTACAATGTTATCCATGATCTTCTCGATATTTAAAAATTTCCCAAGTTGTTCATCACACCTTTCCATGTCATATAATTTCATTGTAAGAAATAAAGACTTTGAAACGGTGTCTCCAAAGTTAATTAATCCGCTTCTATAACGGCTTGGACTGAATAAATTTTGTTCAGTATCCAGTATCTCAGACTTGAGTTTTGCAGTACTGAATCTTACGTGATCAAATAATGCAACAAAATTACTCTTCAGTACTGGAGTCGACATAAATTTTGTTCGTGATATTTGCTGTTTATAATATAGGTCTACCTACTTGATACTTGCTATAAACACAGATATATCCACCTCGATAGTGTGAATAATTTTGTGATAGATTTCTAACTCAAATTCTGTAACAACGACCCACATATATCCTGAAATCAGGATACCATTTTCTTTTAAGAACACAATTTCATTGTCTAAACTGCCAGTTTTTGTGCCCATTGCTGTTTATGTGAGTAGCGCTAGAAGACCAATCATAAATTCCCTGAAAGATGAACTAAGCTCTAGGCTCTATACCAGTGGTATTCAACATTTTTTGTTTGTGTACCCCCAGATATAATTACTCTTCAACTTTGTACCCTCAAGTTGTTGGTGTATAATTCAAGTTATACATAGTATATAATCTACATATAAAATAAATTACATTAGTGATTATTCAGTGTTTATCGTAAAATAATATATATATTTTTAAATTTCACGTAACCCTAAGATGTCTTTGCGTACCCCCGGAGGTACGCGTACCCCAGGTTGAATACCACTACTCTATACCGCCTTGACCTCAAATTTTACCTGCGCTTTGGGGTGTCTGTAACCTCGTTGTACACGTTCTCACATTGAGCTTATTATGGCACTGCGGTCGTTAAGTTTGCCACCTAAATTGTCCCCCACACCTTCTAAAGACTAATTTCCCCATTTCTGTCTTACTACTGAAATAGGAATGTTGTCGTCCTGAGAGTCACTGTCCTCATGTGGCTGACTTACTTTGAGTTTAGCCAACGGAATCATTTTTATCCCAATGCAGGCTCCTTTCGCTTCCACCGTCGCCGTCATCACTAAAGGTAGTGAATATTGTGCTGGCATGTTGATTTCCCCGTCCCGTTCAGGGCGCCTGATTACCAGCCATATTATCCCTCCATTTTAACCGACTGGTATGCACGACCTGTGTTTTACTCTCCTTGAATTTCAACCGATACTGAACATCATTCAGTTTCTCTAAAAAATGTGTGGACCTGTCCATGGTCCTGGAAGTTTCTTTGGTAAACCCTTTTCTAAGGGCTGGGGTATAAGAGATTCAAACTAATTAGCACAATTTAAGCACAAACACAAAACACAGCCTTGGTATACTTTTTACTGTTATTTATTTTCTTTCTGATCATAGTGTGAGCTCTCTCCAATACATGAGCTAATGATTTTACATTCTTATACTCCATATCAAGCCTACAGAACTTTGGTTTTACATCTAGGTGAAATGATAACGCCATTTTTCTACCATGTACCATGTCGATGAGCGCTTGTCCCAGGGACCTCTGCCGTCCTAAGGACGGTTTTGACTTTTGCGTTTACTTTCATTTGTTTGTGGTTTATTTAACAACGCTGTCACTAGCTTAGACTGTAGTGTTGGATGATAAATGAAAAAATACATCCGACGGGATACTGAAGGAAGCTATCATGGCCAGATACGAAACGCCTCAGTCATGACAGAAGCCTCTGGGCTTTGGTTTGAACCAGGGACTTACAAAACTCGAAGGAGTGATAACCACCCGGGCACGACGTTTAGTATGTTAATACTTAAAGTATGAAACGCAAATAAGAAGAGCTCTATTCATCAGAGAACATGGCACAAAACGATCTTCCTCCTTGTTAGTCAATGCCATAGCAAAGCCAATACCTGCCGAAAATAGTCACTGAGAATATGAAGTCCCATATAGTCTCCACTGTTGCAGAGTGACACGATGCCCTGGAAATGCCGTCAGTCAAGATGATGTCCAAGAAGCAGTGGCTCGCGCTGCTGACACTTTTCATTCTGTACCTCTTGCTGGGGGCCGCACTTTTCCACCACATCGAGAGCAACCTGGAGGTGGAACGGCGCGTCACAGAGCGCAAGGAACGTCTCGAAATACAAGGTGATGTCTGATTCCCTTCAGATGTACCCACGCGCGTGCTACAGCTACGGATCAAAATTTACTGCTGTCGAAAAATCAAAGCAAAGCGTTCAGCAGACAAATATTTGACATGCATGATCTGAAGCTTTCACGGCGACTAAGTATAATAAATTCTTCTCGGGCTATCAGCCGTGTAACAACTACAGTGCCCTGAGGACAAACGTTGGTCTTTTCTTCATTAAGCCACCTTACACGGCTGGTAGCCCGAAAAGAATTTATTATACTTATTACACTTGATGGATATCTTGTGGGTTATGTTAGGTTGGATTAAAATGCACTCTTTTAGCGCTGATTGCTTAACAACTTGCTAACAATATCCACTCCACGTAGCTAATGTCGAAAATAACAGATTAATATCGACATCAGACGAATTTCGGTCGTTAACCGTAACATATAGTCCACAGCGTTACCTATAAATTGTAAATATCTCCCATTGAGAAGAGAAATAAGATTGGTTTAATAGTGAACAAAACTTCGTCTTTCGAATCATGGAAAGGACACAATTCGATTTTTCTTGATAAAGGAGTACTAAAGAAAATATTATTCGGACGAGAGGGGAGAAGTAATACGAGACTGAAGAAAACTGTGATGCATGCAAGTGAGAAATGGTAAATGCAATACAGAATTTTAGTCGGGAATCCTTCAGGGAACAGGCCACTTGGGAGACCTAGACATAAATGGGTGGGCAATATTATCGTTTTTGTTTCTGACGTGGAATGGTAGGATGCGAACTGTATTCATCTTGCTCAGGAAACGAACCAGTGGCGGTCTGTTGTGGATGCGGAAACGATGCAAATACGAGTACAAATTCATGAGGCTGCCACAGAAAAAGTTTCATGATTGTGGTACAGTTTATTACTTGGACCGCCATCACACTTGGTTCGGACCCCGCTTAAGTAATGGGTATTTGTCCCCGTTTTTCTTTGTAGGCCCAGGCCTTGTGACGGGCCGATCCGCTGTGTAAGGGGCCCCAACGAATGTCTCAAAGGATTAATAATTTCATCGATATGTTCTGAATTGGAACGGCCAAAAGGCTCAATTCGTTAAAGCCGAGAATTAAGAGCTGAGTGGAAGCGGAGGCGAGAAGCATGTGAGAACTGTTAGCATAATCACTGTCACAAAGATTTAGTTTGATTGCTGTGAGGAGGATATACAGATTCAAGGTATGAGTAGTGCTAACGTCAGTCATTAGCAGGTCGTTAGCTGTGCACGTTCTAAGCTACTGATAAGCTGACACTCGAGACAACAGCTCTTATCTGTGCCATTCTGTGTGGACACGACGGCTTTGAAGCTATTGAATTCCACTTCTGGCAAGTTCGAGTTAAGATTTAATAGTACTAAACAAGCTTTAAGCTGGGAAAGGCAATCTAACATAAAAAAGGAGTTTAATATTATCACTTACTGTGCCAGAATTTGGCCACTTATGTCAGGAGTTATTTCTCAAATCGCCAGTTTTGTTTCATGGAACATATTCGTCCTGTGAACTGACAGTATATAATCAATCCTGATTTACTCCAAATATTCTTTTCATTCAATTCTTATAAATTCCCGAAAAGCGGCATACTTACATTCTCACAATTATATAAAAAAAGAGATTCTTATTCCGTAATTTCCCTGAAAGTCTCAAGACGAGATTCGATAAGATAACCACGAACCGCAATGTCCTAAGTACACAGACGCCATATATTTATGCGGGTCTTTGTTGGGAAAATGCTCTACCTCCAAAATCGCATAATCTTTAAAATATCTGTTGGGCAATACTACTGACGTTTCGTGATCAGTGCTGGCATGTGAGGTTGCTTCGCAAGGCGAAGGGAATGAAATTTAACTGAATGCCAATTGTTTGTTATTACATGCACTTAACACCTAATAATTGACATATAAAATTAACGTTTAATTGTTTAAGTTAGTTTAAATTGACGCATGTATAACAAGCGTTGTTATTCTGTGCGGTGTCCTTCGAAATATGGAAAGAAGAAAAGGTTATGTTGAAGGTAAGGTAATGCTGGAACATTTTTGTTTTTAAATGACAACTCTGTATTTCTCGTTTGCTATCAGAAAACAGAGAACTGCAGCATTTGAGGGAAATAGGGAATGAATTTTCACATCTGTTTCTCAGTTTCTCACAGCATATGCCAAAAAAAAGTGAGCCTGTCTTTCACAAAGGCACTAAAGACAATACGAATTATGTATCTTACTTTATGCAGTGTTTTCCCTCGTTTTGCAGCGATCGAATCGCTCCCTTCTGGCCGTTCAGGGCAAGTTCCAAATTACTATTGCATGTTTCTCAGCAACAAATTAAACAAAAACTAACCAAGAGCCGAGTCTTACTCGATTTTGCCCTGGCATTTTCTTTACAACCGAGTAAAAGCACGGAAAACCTCAGTTATAGTGCTAGACATTACTCGTAGCGTCGACTTGGCCGTTCTATTAGGGGCATCTTCCGCTGGCCTGCTGAGCGTCAGTCCTCCTCGGTTAACCGTGGCTGACTTAAGACGGTCATTAGTAGGCTCAAGTGTCTTCCAAGTTCCCTTAACTAAGGGGTTCTCCGAATCAGATAACTTTGGATTGTAACACTTGTAGCTTCTAGACGTGGTTGAGAGCAGAGGACCGTCAGATGGGGCATCCATAGACCACCATAAAACGGGTGAGTATGCATGTTTATCATGGAGTCAAACCGAGTTTCATTAATCGAACACCTCCACTATCTGTGAAGACCACCAAATTACTTGTCTTCTTTCCAATTTTTTTAGCACACATTAGCTGAAGAATTGAAATTTCGCTGTTGGTATCTCAAGCAACCACTTCTTGCCGCTCCAGTGTCTTTTTTTTGTATACCACCATCATTGGAAGCACGAACTACTGAAACCTGGAACCATCTATACATTTGATATTTCTCTCTCAGAAATAAGGTACCTCTCACTTCTCTTTACGGCTGTCTTCCGTACTCTCCAGGCCTTACTCTCCTGTAAGGTTTTCTTTGTCTTTTTGGCAAGATACGTATTTGTGTTATACCAAAACTGAGGTCGACATTAATATCGACGTCCCTTGCCTGAATGTAATTAGCACTACAAACATGTTCGCACTGGAATGACAAATATTTAATAAAAACTAAAATGGCAGGCAATTTACTAAATTAACTAAAAGAATGACGGTTTTAATCATGAGAGAGCGACAGTACGTCCATTGTACCTTGCTTTCGATAAAGTTTGGCATTGGAATCCAATCAAAAACTCCACGATAACGAAGTTCCACTTTGAATGATCAAATGTTTTAACGCTATATTCCGACACAGGGCAGCGGTTATCTAGTTTTTAATAGCGCTGATAATTCCGGCAAGTATTCAGAATGGGAGGTCGCATAGCAACACATTGTCTCTCGCCACATAGCGTAATTTCTTACCTTGGTTGGGGTATGTCTAGAGCGATAAGTAATTAGTCTACTGGAACAACTGGCTGTTCTTCAGCGTTCATACTTAGATGCTGATTATTTGCATTGAAACCCCACCTGCAGAACACAGATTAAACACACGCGCCTACAAGTACACAAATTTAAATGCGAAGATTGCTGCCTCCATCATCAGGGAGATGATGGAGGCAGGAAGGACCTTTGAAACGTCCGTAAAACTTCTACCAGACTACATCATCAGACTCACCGCCGTGAAAATCTCAAATCCTACAAATTTAAATGCAAAGTCCCAGACAAAATGTGGCCTGCGAAAAATTACGACAAATAACATACATTAATTACCGAATTAACATATTTATTTGACAGAAAATTTCAGTTTGGGAAGCATTTCTACAAACCTCTGCACAAGAGATTAGAAGACTATGCAAGATAATTCTGTTCATGAACATATCCTGGTAGCAATGACACAACTGCGGCATCAGTTACTACAAATAGAGTAGGCCTTTTCATATTTCGAAGAAAAAGTTAGTATATTAACATAGTGACATCATCAATACAGAATAACGTTTTGAATTTTACGTGACTTTGAAACTCTTCCCATTTGAAGGGTGTGAGTTCAATCTCAGTACGAAAACAGGCTGTATACTGACAGGTTTTTTGCGATTTTCCTCAATTCATCCAAGAAAATGTCGGAATAGTACCTTAAATTAGGCCACGACTACTTTCTTAAGAGGCAATTAGCAACGAGATTCTAGTGTCGATGCTCAGACAGCCCCAAATCGACCGCGCTACAAACTAGAGCAGAATACACCTAGCTACCAGTAAGAACAAAATACGATTTCTAAAGCTCTGCAGCACAATGGATGTATAAACTGGCAATACAAATAAAATATAACTTATTTGAAACATCTAGCCCAGAAAAGAGTTCTTTCAGAATCTTCTGACACTAAAACGGACAGATTCGCCCTAGAAAGGGCCGACTATCTGAAGAGCTGGTAATTTATTGAGTAGCCGAGCGATTATTAGCTTCTCAAGGACTCTGCTTCACGGTGTACTTCATTATTTCACACAATGCCATATGTTCGTTACTCAACGCCACCAGAGTGACCTATTACAAAAAAGAATTGATACTGCAATATATGTTTTATGGCATGTTTTTCATATCATGCATATCTATAGACTGTTTTTCTTTCCAGCACTGATCTAGGGGTCGCGAACTATAAGGTGGTCACAGGTGCAAAGTCGCAACTCTGTTGACAGTCCGGCTCATCGAAGGCTGTCACATTTATGGAAAATACTTTGTGTTGGCAGCCCTACTAACTACCAACTACGCAGTGGACTCCGACAGTTCCCAAGCCCACATCTTGCAGAAGCTGTCCGAGTACTGCGGGCGGCCTATGCTCGTGCCTCATAACAGCAGCGATGTGGAGGACTTCGAGCCGTTCTTATGGGATTTCTACAATTCTGTGTTCTTCGTCCTCACCGTCGTGAGTACGATAGGTACGCGTCTCTCTGCAGGGAGAAGTGTGCTGGACATTTATAAAATCAACAGCCAGACTATCGGACTGTCAGGGGTCAGCTTCTCTCGCCGAGACTCGGGCAAGCCTGTGTCTGGCAATGCAATACAAAGCCAGGGTTTTCCTGATCGCTGTCATACTGAAACAGGTTTTACCGGTGCTTAACATCTGGATCAGGATATTGCAGCAAGGATTCTAGTTAACTATATTTGTTTGCATGTGAGGTACCCAGAATTTGTATTGGACTTTCTGGTGATAAAAGATGCGCTCGGATTAATTTCCCTACCTTCTGAAAGTTGATGTATTCACTGAAAATTTTGCATTATGACTGATGATCCATCGTTACAAAATCGCGTTAGAATTATTAAAAATAAAATGCACAAAGACAGAAGAAAGGAGCATTTGGAATAATGTAGTTTTCAGATGGCTGGTTGTCTTCTGGATTGTTGCGCCGTGTAGCCTTAATGATGGAGGCATCATAAAGCACCTCTGAAACGTCGATAAGCGTCTACCAGACTACATGGCGCTACAACCCAAAAGATATCCATCTTCATATGTGACGCCGTGAAAATCTTAATGTAATATTCTCTCAAATAATTAATTTGTATTTGTGTTTGCCAAATTTTGTTCACATGGAGTAAAATGTTGCAGGTTATGGGAATTTGGTGCCATCATCCTCTTTGGGCCGTTTGCTCATGATCGGTTATGCCCTTATCGGCATCCCGATTAACGGCATTTTGCTCGCCACCCTGGCTGAGTTCTTCAGTACCGCGGTGAGTAGCATACCAGAGTTCGATAATTCAGTTAGATTCCGCGTCTGTTTAAAATAACGACCATGAAGACAACACGAAAATAATGCCTACAATTAGTAGCTCTTTCCCCTCTGTGAGTTATTTTAAGCATTACAACAATGTGATAAGAACCACGATATGTGTATATATAGTGGTCTTCTGGGCCAAAGCTTCGTGCAGGCTATTAGAAAATTTGAGGAACATGTTGCCTCCATTCTGAAGACACCTATATGTCACAATAATCCAAAACATCATGATCCACATTTTTCTTCCGTGAAAGCCTCACATCTGAACCACAATGTAGATTGTACACAGCTTTACAGCCCAGAACATTTTACAATATGAACCCACTTTTGCATTATTTTGATTTCAGGCATATTTATACATATCTAACGATAGATCACACAGCTTGGTAATACAGCCCTATTTTGTAATCTCATCGGCTTGTGCTGCTGTTTATTTATTAAATTATTGCTATCTTGACGATTCTCGTATTTCTTTATGTCTTTGAATAACAATTTTAATCTTAACATTAAATTTTCCATTTATTACTTGATCGTTAAGTGTTGTTTAGGTGATACACTTATCACAATCTCCAATGCATATCACGAAAAATAATAAATCCAGAAATGAAAAGCACGACACTGTACGAAGAGTAATGGCAGCATGGTTTGTACATGCCTGCCTGCCTTCGTACGACCAACGCCTTGAAATTTGGAATAGATGCAACTGTGTAAAACCTCAGATAGTGGACAACGTCCAACACAACGTCAATGTAGTGATATGTGTCGTCAGATACTGAACTGTATTTTAGAGTGTCATGACGTGGAAGCACTGAGAAACACTATTTGTTTACCAGTTCAAAACAAAACATTGCAGCTGGTCCGAGTGCACATGCGCTACAAGACGAAACCCTTTGAGACGCGCGCTGGCATGGTGGCAGATATCATTCTCTACCTGATCCCTGGGTTTGTCATCTTCATCTTTCTTCCAACTGGTGTCTTCATGCACTTCGAAGGCTGGACCTTCGTCGAGAGCTTATACTACGCCTTTGTCACACTCAGCACGATAGGCTTCGGCGACTTCGTAGCAGGTAATGAGTTCATTTTGTGGCCAACGTAAGCTTTACGAAAAATGACGCCCTAGGCGAGCAAAACAACCTTCCCCCCTCCCCCTCCCCAGCAGACCTCTCACTGACCACTTATGCAACACAGTCTTGGGCCATCAAATACTGAACATGCACATAATATACATGAGCCACTGCTTCATACATATTAATATTCGGATGACATATTATTAAATATAATCTTCATCTGTCCTTCCATAAATCAACTAAGACTAAATTATAATAATTTACAATTGTTCAAAAGTAAAATATGTGAATATTTTGTTTGTGTGAAGCAAATTATCGGTGTTGATCATTTTATATAGAATCGGTGTATTAAAATATGAAGGGTGAACGCTGCACGTACCAGGTTTTACATAGGCGGGCAGACAGCTCGTGTATAAAGTATTTAGCTACTTTAAGGCTGAAGCACACGCATCATGAAAGTCCACGACACTGCCACGTTTGGGTCTGTGTACATTTTGGTTGGGATTTTCCCAACCAGATAATCAGCAGAAATGAAAGAAAAACACGAAAACGTAATAAACACGCAAGCTTATTTACAGGTACACACTACGAAAATCTTTTTTAAGATTACTAATAACGGAAAGGATTGCATATAAAATGTAATAAAGTACATACAAACTGAAGATGACTGACTTCTGGGTTATTGCGCCGTGCAGTCAGTCTGGTAGATTTCCGCCAACGTTTCAGAGGTCATACTGCCTCCGTCATCAG